GGGGGGGGGGGGGGGGGGGTGCAGTCTAGCAGCGAGTCAGGTTTCAGGTTTAGTGTTGTTGGGCTTTGAAGCTTTGCATAGAGATAGTTAGACAGGTAGGCAGGTAGATATTTGCGAACGGCGCTAGAGGTTCAACATAGCTTGGCTCGCCTGTCCTGTTCCATGTACCTCTACTTGNNTACTTGGAGGTTCATGGGTACGTAGCTATAAGTAGGGTTATAGGTAGGCTAACTATATAGGGGACGCATACCTCCACTTACAACTACCCACGAACCTCCAAGTACGAAAGATGAACACCTCATGCCTCGCATCCTGCACGATGGATCAGTCATTTTCTATGTTGTTTCAGTCGGTTGAACCAAGTGTGTAGGTTTTAAGGTTGAAGCTTCATAGCTTAGGCATCCACAGGCCGAGGGACGGGTGCGGTTTTCAGAATTACGGATTTAGTCAGAGTTTTGGGTAGAGGCGTCCCTGTCTAATGGGCATTGGGTTTTTGACACCTGCAGCGTTCGTTGTGGCGGGGCTTGCAATCGGAAATTAGGTAAGTTAAGATAAGGTACGGTGAGGTAAGGTAACGTATACGGCACGGTAAGGTACGGTAAGGACGGGAAAAGGCAGGGGAGGTGAGGGAGTTAGGGTCGGCCGGACGGGCAGCCGGTAGGTAGCTGGGCATAATGAGTCGGAAGATCCCCTTGATGAGTTTTTTCCTAACCGAGAGTCCTGCAGATGTAAGCAGCTCCCAAGATCTGAACCAGCATCCAAACCCTGGAGCCCTTTAAAACGGCCACACATCCGGCTCAACCCAGCCACTGCACCCTAAATCGTCGAAGGAGCAGACAGCCTCGCAGCCCACAGCCCTTAATAACAGAACCCTAAGCCATGAGCGCGAGTATCATAGCTCTTTTCAAATCACTGCAATGGCAAGAACCCTACCCCCGAAGCTTGACAAGGCCCGGGCAAACAACAAACATATTCGGAAAGCAAAAACACCAAAGCTTGAAACCCCCAAACAGAGAAGCCACAAAGAAAAAACAATCGAGCAGCATACTAGCTGGAGAATATGTTGCCAAGAAAGCACCGGTATTGAACTGCACACGGTCAGCAGCGGCAGCAAACTATTGCAAGGGATCACAGCAACATGTAAGCAATGTGAACCGACATTTGGACGACTAGTTTTGCACCTCGGCTTGCCACATTCCAAGATCTTCTCAACAGTCACGACACGCCTGGACAAAAAGTAGACGTTTCATAGGTTGCCCAGACTTATGTGTCATGAAATTTTTGGGTGATCATACATCACGTGGCTGTTCCAAACACCAGAGTATCAAGGAGGCGCTTCTCCAGGTTTCAGAAGCTGTCGACAACATGGCTCAGGCTTATGTTGAAGCGATGCAAGTTGTCCTCATCGCGAACCATCCGCTTCGAAAGGAATGATACTCACGTGTGCGGTTGCGATTGCATGGATCTTCGCCGTCTGAACAGCTACGAATTCCCAACTCCCAACTGATGCTGTTTAAAGGGAACTGCACATGTTGCCGTAGGACTTATGAAACTATAATAAACTAGACGGTTTCCAACAGCTTGCTGTTCAAATGTCGTGTTGTTGCCCCCATCTCAAACCAAGAAAATTGATATGGTTGGGCGAAATCGAATTAAGCAACTACTTCGTGTGGAGTCAGTGGGGCAAGTCGCAGGACATACACCTTGTGTTACAGCAAGCCCTAAATCCCACATGGATAGTTCTCTAAATTAGGGTCCTGTTTAGGGTCTGTTTTCAACGGGTGCCGTACTAAACGGGGACTTGAAAAGGGAGCCTGATTTAGATAACTACCCACGTGTTGAAACCCTTCAGCTCTGGTCGGGCTCGAAGCCAAGAAGTACCAGTGCAAAACCGACTGTAGGCACCTACATGCGGCACACTACAAGTTTTTGCGGAACAAGATGCAAGGCGTTTCCGAACCTTGTGCACGTACATGTATATACACTAGTCATTCGTTGTTGTAGTCCATATTTGAACAGGATAGCCGGCAAACGCGGTTGCCTAAGCTTCACATGTAAGCTGCGAAGGCTAACGCCCTCCGCTTCCCATCCCTGAGTTCGCGACCTTAGTTTCTACTTCGGCCTTCAACCTAAAAACTTACCAAGCTTGCAAAGCCTGCAGCATGCCCGTTCGTGCCGTATCGTGCTGCCAACCTGCAATTCTGGAACTCCTTAAGGATACGGATTCGTTCCTGAAGTTTTGGGAATTGCTCGTTTTGTGGCTTGCTACAAACTTGTGGCGGTAAGGTGCGTTGAGGTTGTCTGCGGTTTCCTATTCGATGCTGAAATTTAGAAGGTTCGTTGAACCTGAAAAGTTTTACACTGTATATATAACCCGAAACCCTAAACCCTAAACTTGTGGGGGAGCTCAGCGCGTCGCTGGCACGAACCGGTTTGTTGCTGGCAGAGAGCTCACCCAGGTCGGCCTCATCTTATTGGCTTTATAAGGGTTGTATGGGTTTAGGGTTTAGGGGTTTGGGGTTTAGGGTTAGGGGTTTAGGGTTTAGGGTTTTGGGTTTAGGGTTTAGGGTTTAGGGTTTAGGGTTTAGGTTTATAAGGGTTGTAAGGGTTCCTCGAAGGTTTTTTTATTTTAAGGTCTATAAAGTTTCCTCGAAAGTTTTTGATCAAAAGAACTTTAGGGCTTTAGAGCTTTAGGGTTCAAGGGCGTGGGACTGTTGGGATTCTAAGGCTGAGGGCTTTAAGGCCTACTCCGGGGGTTAGGGTTCAACTTTGTTGTGAGTTCCTTTAAAGGCTCCCGCAAGGATTCGAGTCCGTGTTTACGGCCGAGCCGTTATGGTTCGATGAGGTTTCATGCGGATTCGAATCTCTTTTGAACATGTTCAAGCTCAAAGTGTGTGATCTTAGGTCAGCCTGTAGAAAGGTTTAGGGTTCAGGCTTTAGGGGTTTAGGGTTTAGGGTTTAGGGGACTACTGAACATGACTATCAAAAACACACGCCGCCAGGGAGTGCCATACTGTAAGTTGCGAGAACCCAAAAGCCGAAAACCGAGTCTTCACCCTAAACCCTTTATTGAAGGAAACTACAGTTGGGGAGTTTAGGGTATATAGGGCTTCTATAAGGCTTCTATAAGGTATATAGACCTTCTATAAGACTTCTATAACGGTAACTACCCACCTGAAAATGTCCTAGACCCTAAACCCTAAACCCCTAAACCCTACAGATCTCAACCCCATAAACCGGGCTGCGACGAGCCGTGGAACACTTCCAGAGGCTGCGGCGTGGGGCCGAGTCGTCCGCCAGGGGCCGGCCTTCGGAATTTTGGCACATAGGGTTTAGGGTTTAGGGTTTAGGGCTTAGGGTTTAGGGTTTAGGGCTTAGGGTTTAGGGTTTACGGTTTAGGGTTTAGTGTTTAGGGTTTAGGGTTTAGGGTTTAGGCATTTTAGTACATATCGTAGCATAGGGGATTAAGGTATTGGGGTAAGGCAGAAACTGTCATTGTACTGAATGATGGCATATAAATGTAAACTATCGCATATTAAGTCGCTAGGTCTAATATAGCGCATTGTAGTCTACTGGAGCCGTGTATATTATAATATGTTATCGGATGCTGTTGTGCATTATAGTGTGTGTCTAAATCCTAAACCCTAAACCGTATCATATATACATATGTACCCACCCCGAACCCTTCTCCTGAGGAAAAGCTCCCTGAATGCTTGAGGCCGGCGCGGATGGCCGGGGGCCTCGGCGTTACTGGGTTCTTGTTAAAGGATTTAGGGTTTAGGGTTTAGGGTTTAGGGTTTAGGGTTTAGGGTTTAGGGATTAGGGATTAGGGATTTGATTTTTGAGTTACCAAATATATATTATCGACTATAGATCCCTATTATGGTAACTTAAACTGAATTCCTTAGCAAGGGCGAGGATGAGGAAAGCCATGGCCAATGGGGGTGTCAGGGCTATTAAGCTCTTAAGGCTTCAAGGCTTAATGTTCAGGTTTTAGGGGTTCAGGGGTTTCGGGTTTAGGGTCTAGGGGTTTAGGGATAGAGGATTTAGGGTTTAGGGGTTTAGGGTTGGGTGTTTAGGGCTTAGGGTTTGGGGTTTGGCGATTTAGGGTTTAGGGGTTTAGGGGTTTAGGGTTTAGGGTTGATTCAAGGTGCTATAACGGGTTTGAATTAGCTTGGGGCTTCGGGGTTTGGGGTTTAGCGGATCGATAAAGACTCTATGAAGATGCTATAACAAAGGTTCTGTAGCCTACCAGCGTTTAAGCTTCCGGGTTTCGAGGTTATGGTTTAGGGTTTAGGGTTTAGGGTTTAGGGTTTAGGGTTTAGGGTTTAGGGTTTAGGGTTTAGGGTTTAGGGTTTAGGGTTCAGGTTCTTGTTGTCTAAGGGATGAAGAGGAGGGTAGAGAGTCTATTCAGCGGTTCCTGGGGTTCGGGGAAGAGCTTCGGGATCTAACGTTATAGGTTCATGGGCTTTGGGTTTAGGGTTTAGGGTTTAGGGTTTAGGGTTTAGGGTTGGGGGCTTTGCATGGTGTCAGTTTCGGGTAGGTTGGGGTTTCACACTTCCGGGTATCAGTTTGGAGTATATCTGGTGGGATGAACGGGCCCATCACCACAAAAGCGCCTACCCCGGAGCGACATATGTAGAAGGAAGCAATGCTCCTTTAAATCATAGCGAGAGGCCCCGACTGTTCCTGAGTAAAGGGCTGCATTCCTTAAAGCCGAGTAAGGAGCCCAAGATCCCGTCAGGAGTGTCAGGGTTTAGGGGTTAGGGTTTAAGGATTCGGGTTTAAGGATTAGGGTTTAAGGATTCGGGTTTAGGGATTCGGGTTTAAGGATTAGGGTTTAAGGATTCGGGTTTAGGGATTAGGGTTTAGGCATTGGGGCTTGGGGATTAGAGTTTAGGGATTAGGGTTTAGGGATTAGGGTTTAGGGTGTAGAGTTTGGGGGTTTAGGGTGTAGGGTTTAGGGTAAAGGGGTTAGAGGCTGATCTATTGCACGGTTCTGCTCCCAACAAGACTGGTTCCCTCTTGGGGCTAGGTTAAAAGTGAGCATGTTTAATCCCTAGTCGGTTTTATGAAAACAAAAATGTAAAACTGTATCCAACAACGACCCAGAAGAACTCAGGCATGATCCTTGTTGTTGCCTGCGTGTTCGAGGGTTTCCCCGAACCGAAACGCTGAACCCTAAACGTTCAAATCCTAAACCCTAATCATGAGAGTACCTGAACTCTGAGACACCAAACCACAAACCCGTCACAAACCCTAAACTCCAAGAGTTTAGGGTTTAGTGTTTAGGGTTTAGGCCTAAACCCTAAACCCAAGCCACAAACCCTAAACTTCCCCAATAACGTCTGACACCCATGCTCAAACATCAGAATATACAGGCGTGTTCTTACTAACATTGAGAGAATCGTCTAAGTCACCATACTACGACGTGTGTACATATACATAGATATATATATATATATACATACATACATATACATATATATATATATATGTATCTACGATCTACGTACATATAGGATTTAGGGTTTAGGGTTTAGGGTTTATTGTATATTTATACCTATTTATTTGTGTATGTGTTTATGTACACATGCTAACTACTGACTGGATGGATAACCTTTTTGGGTTAACTTGAGTTAAGGTCCATTAGAAGGGCCTGGAACAGAACCTTTTGCAACAAGCCATGTAAAGCCTCTGCAAAGCGCGGATGAACACCCTCATCTCAAGGCCGAAAGCCCCCTGACACCACTTAAACCTTATACAACCCGATAACACCGTGCAATTCGTTTCTAAAAATACTCATGAAACTTGACAAGCCCTCTAAAAAAACCCTGATCTATTCGTCTGAGAACTAAGCTCGAAGTCCAGAGTCTTGTGTCGGCACTTGCATGGTTGCGTCCTGGTTGGCGTTTAGGGTTTACTGTAGGGCTCAGGGTTTGAACACCCAAGGAGGGTTTGTCTTATTAAGTGCTTGGCTTTAGGGTTTCGGGGGTTTGAAGCCCAATGCCTCTAATTTTTAGTTGTGTAAGGCCTGAGAGGCGCTTTACAAGCATTCCATAAAGGTTGCGGCAAGGGTGTTGTACCCCTTACTTGTGGTTATTAGGATCTATACCCGAAGTCACGGCCAGGATCTCTCTCTGCTTTTGGAAACCCTAAACCCTAAACTTAGTTTAGGGTTTAGGGTTTAGGGAACCCTAAACCCTAAACCGTTGTTGAGGCAGCGATGCCCTTGACCCTAAGCCCTAACCCCTGGCAGTTGCACGCCAAGGCTTGGTTACAAGTCGCAAGCTTTCGGGGTTTAGGGCTTAGGGTTTAGGGGTTTAGGGCTTAGGGTTTAGGGTTTAGGGTTTAGGGTTCAGGGTTTAGTGTTTAGGGTTCAGGGTTGAGGGTTTAGGGTTTGGGGTTTAGGGATTCAGATTTCTTAGTGTAAGCCTTTGGCAGGGTTTGGGGTTAGAGGATCGCTGCAGCTGGGGTGACTCCATGCTTCCACTTCAATTCTGACTGGCTTCCTCTGCAGTGGCTTGCGGTGGGTCATCGTCCGGCGGTCGCGCATCAGCGCTGGCTTCGGCAGACCCTAAACCCTAAACCCTAAACCCTAACCCCTAAACCCTGAACCCTACAACGCCGTTGCCTGGGTCTCTTTTGGCACGCGGAAAGCCGCCAAGGTCTCGGTCAGCCACTGCTCGACGGGCTTTCCGGCCCACACGAAGAACCATTTGGCCTTCGTAATATAGGGGCCTTAACAATTACCTACATTATTTCGGGGGGTTCCTTTTTATAGTTATAGTATAATAAACCCCAAAACCTTATTCTGATTAATAAGGCCCCTACATTCCACGGGGCTCTTGCGGACGAAGCCACGGTCGCGGACATCTTCCTCCGCTCTCGCCACATCGAGGTGCGACACGGCTTCTCGCGCGCGTCGCGCCAGGCTAATCGAGGGTCTACGGTTTTGGGTTTAGGGTTTAGGGTTTAGGGTTTAGGGTTAAGGGTTTTAGGGTTTAGGGTTTAGGGAATAGGGTTTAGGGTTTTAGGGTTTAGGGTTTAGGGGTTTAGGGTTTAAGTTTGCACACCAAAACTAAAAGAAGGAACACCTGTAAAGCCAAAACGGTGCCACGGTCTTCCTCGAGAGGGAGGCGCACAAAGCCGTCCGCAGCGGAGGCCTATCGCTTGTAGGCTGTTTGAGGGCTTAGGGTTTTAGGAGGGTTTTAGGGTTTAGGGTTTAGGGTCTTTGTGGATGAGTGCCCTGTGTCAATAGGGATGTATAAGGGGTTGAAAAATCAGGTGTTATGAAATGTCCTGAGGCTGCTTTAGGGTGAAGGGTTCTAGAGAGCCCAGCGGCTTCCACACTGATTTAGGGTTTAGGGTTTAGGGTTTAGGGTTCAGGGTTTAGGGTTTAGGGATTAGGGTTTAGGGTTTAGGGTTTAGGGTTCAGGGTTCAGGGTTTAGGGTTTTTGTTTGAAGGCTGTTTCCAATTGCCCACAAGTCACTACAGCCACCGGTAGCCTCCTGGCTTAGAAGCTTCGCACTGCAAATTCCGCGAGAAAAAACCGCGAAGATTTTGCAACTGCTCAGAAAGAATTCGCAGTTGGGAAAAACGAAAACAGGGTTTAGGGTTTAGGGTTTAGGGTGTTGCAATTGCCCACGAAGCTTTCGCGAATTGATGGCATTTTGCAGGCCATGTATAAAACGAAGCCTTTTCGCTTACTCCCACGAAGACCGAGATGCACACGGCGTTTTCGCCGATGCCCAGGAAAGCCCTTGCACCAATGCCCAGGATTCCCACGAAATGTCGCCGATGCCACGAACTCCGAAAGCACCGTTGCCGCTGCCCAGCCTCGGGACTTAATATAGGGGCCATAATAATTAGAATAGGGCTTAGGGGTATATTCTACTATAATTATAAACAGGAACCCCCAAAAGAGTATATTATTCCGATGGTGCGAAGTCCGTCGCGAACGTACCACTAGCAGGCGAATTCAGAGGTGAAACAAAGAAAAAGCGCGGAGCGCCCAGGCGGCGAAAGGCTCGTGTTGAGCCATTCGGCGAGCGGTCCAAGCAAGCTCCTCGGGGTGCAGCCCCGAGCCACGCGAAGAGGAGATGAAGCCAGCGGGCATGGCGACGCAGAGCCCGAAGGGTGCACGAAGCGGGTGCCCAAGCAGGTTGAGCAGGTACAGGCGGGGCAGGAACGCAGAGGGAAAGACCGGCAAATCCACATCCCACAGGAGGCTCCTGCCAGAATCCAGTCCGGAAGGTACAGGGGCAGACCCCCGACATAAATCCAAACTCAGCAGACCATGTCCTCGTATCCGCAAGGAAAGGCAAGTCAGCCCATAGTAACTTGACTGGAAAACCGCGAGGAATCGGCACAAAGTCTGCGGGTGGAGCCTCGCCACGTCGCGCCCTGGACGCCGAGTCACAAAGCAAATCAACTTGCAGACACAACAGCACATCAGAAGCCCAGAGAGACAGCTGACCCTCCTCGATCTCCGCAATCCAGGCACTCAAGGTGTTGCGCAACACATGAAACGGTTCGACAGCACTCTTAATGCACTCAAAGATGTCAGAGTCGGAGGCAAACTGTCCAGTTCGCAAAGCCTGCAACAACGCAGCCGAAACATCCGGGCCCGCCTCAGGCACGTTAGTGAAGTCGCCTCCACCAGACGATACACTCTGAACATGACCCGGCGAGGATGTATCAACCGGCAAGAGCGTGGGGAGGTCCCGCTCAACAGCCTGGCAGCATCTCACGGAGTCGATGAGGTGCCTCTGATGTCGCTTAAGAGTCGCAAACTTAACACCGCATGCTCGGCAGGCCAACCCCTGCGCGAATCGACGCGACCTGGACCTGTACCCATGCGAGCAAAAGAGTGTAGGTAATTATTCAGGCCCCTATATTATTTGGATCCCGAATATTGGTCCTATGAGTCTTAAACCCACCAAAATAGTGCTATAGTCTTAAACCCACCAAAATAGTGGTGGTAATTATTTAGGCCCCCACACCCTAAACC